CCTTTAAGAGAGGACTTTTATTCTGACATAGTGCATCGTTTTCGGACAGCGCGCGCTCGTGAGTGAAACTGCTGTTGTCTGCTGAACTGCTATGGTGCGACGATTGCTGAAAGGACATTTAGGCCCTGTCCCAAATGGTGCACTTCATGCGGACTTTCGGTCTCGTGGACTTAAATTGCGCGTGCTCGCCGAGTCTACGAGTCCGTAGGCCGTCCCATTTAGCATTTTAACGCTCTGAAGTGTGCTCAGCAGCGCCCCCTTTGTACCCTTGAACCGGTCTTCCGCGAAGCCCGCATAGATGCAGGCTCCACGCACTTTAACTACCCAGGAATCCTTGCGAAAGGCCAATCAGACAACGGATGGGAGGAGATTTTGCTCATGGACAATTATTAACATGGCTGAGAAGAAAATATTTAAGTGTAATTATGATTACGGTTTTTATGACAAGTTTATACAAACATTATGATCATTGACCAGTGGTTGATGTCTCAAACATAGGCTAATAATAGCGAGCTGAATAATACGATCGCATTATGATTCATTAAATAAATAGAACAGAATGTCAGGGCTTTACTGAGTCATATGTAAACACAAAAAGTGTTCCTGTTTCCGGCGTGACGATCGAGTCTGTCCCAAAAATACCAATCAATGCGCCCTCGCAGACTCGCGCTAAGGGCCCTATAGGTCTGCACTACATGACGTCACCGAAGTGTGGACTCTGAGGAAGTCCACAAGTCCGGAGTGTGCCATTTGGGACAGGGCCTTATTGTTTGTTATCTGTGATATTTGCTGCGGAAGTTACCCTGAGGTGTTAGTCATTGACCTACAAGTAAGCATGTTTGCCTTATGTTTGTGTTTATAGGGACTGGTATTTAGTTATTTATAATTGCGTCATGCAGGCATGTCCAGACATGCCCTCAGCTATTGTTTCTGTTAGTTTAGTTTAATAACGTAGTTCCATTTGTGATTATTTCTTCTTTATTGAGATGTATATCACTATTTGGGTTTTTTGACGATTCTTTTGGGATGTGGATTTGATGTTTTGAGCTGTTTATACCAAACGAGCGATTGCAATCTGATATACTGTGCTATCCATATATAGAGTGATGTTTATTATGTTCGATGATTGCTTATGGTCTATAATGTACAATGTGATTCCTTATTTTCCTTTATTGGATGGTATATTCCACTGAGAAATGTTACTGATTAGGATTTAGTATGTTTTGGCTGCCTTTATGTACCAATGGATGTATATTATTGTATATATGCCCAGCTATTCTTGTTATTCACTATCCTTTATGGTTTTTTCTTGTTTCCAGATGAATGCCTCTAATGCCTGTAATTGATACCTACCTGTGAAATACCTGTACCACTGTGGATTGTCCTTTTATCAATACATCATCGAAACTGCTCAACTGTCTCCTCATCCTTATATCAAACTGTGCTCTGACAGGCACCCAGAGGGGTTCACTTATCTAATTACTAATCAGATCCATACAGTCAAAAGTCTCCCAAACACATACAGCAAAAGACACTGCATCTATATGTGTCTCATTAGTTCTCAAACTTTAACCTTACAGTTCATTAAATATTTAAACACAGCTAACTCGACATTAATTGTTTTTAAATCTTCACAATGTATAGCCAGAGAACTATCACAAAAGTATTTAGGAAAGTAAAGACATACAAAAGTATTTCTGTTTAAAGCTGCTTTGTATTGTTGTGTATTTTTAAAAGCTCTATTAATGTCCTAAAACGATGTGCATTTTGCTTGTAGTTTTGTGTTAATAAAAATGTAATATATTACATCTCATAATTCAGTTGAATTCATTATGTATTGTGAAATTTAATTACATTTTTATACAAGTTTTGGTTCACTAATTTTATTACATTAAATGGTATTGTATTGTATGATGTTCTGTATTAAGATTAAATTATGCCATAAATCATAATGCATTAGTACACAAATGACATGCTTGAAATAAAAAAAAGCATATTATGCCCTATTGCTTAATAAAAAATAACGTTGTCACAAAACACACTTAAAAATGGTATTTCTTTAAAATAAAAGATTATTATATGAATTAAGGGGTTTGATTACATTAAGATTTGTGATTCCATAATGTTATTATACTGTTCTTTAGTCAAGGCTTGACAACCAATTAAATATTTATACCCACAAAACATAGCTTGCATTCTGTCATTTATTTAAATGTCTAAACTGTTATTAAGAAAATAGTAATATACACAAATAAACATTATGTTATGGTTCTTTTAATAAATAAAAGTGTACCTGTAACATATTGTGCCGATTATTGCGATAAAAAATGATGACATAATTATAATTGCACTACTAACTGCTGTGAATACGGTAAGGCAGTATCAGTGCAGTATAAGCTCAGGTAAAGCTCATAGCACGATCATCGGATAACGTTAGCTGTATGCTATGCTACTACCTAAGCTAACTAAAAAACACACTAACAACGAGAAATGTTTAATTTCACAATCTATAGCTTCGGTTAAATACTAGTATATGAAACGTATAATTTAAAAAACATTAAATACATTAATGACTCGTTATACCGTAGTACAAACGTCTTCTATAATAAAGTGATTTTGTATGATTTGTAACCAGGCACCAAAGCGATTACCTAGAAAACGTGCTTTGAACCAATCGAATTGCTTGGGTCCTACGCCCGGACTATTCACACCGAGTGACCGGATTATTCACCACACCGGCCAGTGATAGTAACTATAGTAACAGCATGAGAAGACGCGCTCCGTAGTCAGCGCTTGGTCGGTTAATTTTGGCGTTTGGCATAAGTAAGTTAGCCTAATAGGCTAGTAATAAATTAACACACATACAAAAATATTTTTCGTCCTGTAGGCGTCCTGGAAAATATTTCTGTTCGTCCTGAACACATTTTCTATCGTCCCCAGGACGATAGGACGCCGTTAGTCTCGAGCCCTGGAATATATATTCGAATAGTTTTAAAAAACAGAAATTCGAAGGTGAAAATTAATATTCGAATCATGTGAAAAAACACGCCCGCGTTAGCAGAGGCGCGGCTCTGCTTTGCGAGTGGCAAAATTCTGAAGCTTAAAATGTAAAACGCATTTTCCAGCTGCACAGATAGAACAGCGAGTGTCTGGCTCACTCATTGGCTGTGCTGCGGCAACTCCACATCCAATGGCGCGGGCGCCTCCAACGTGTGCGCCAATGAGCTAGCATTACATCAGACACGTCAGAGCCCGCCAAGGGGGCGTGGCCAGACGCCCTCGAAATAGCCATAGTAGCAGGCTAGCAGCAGCAGTTTACCACAGCAACGCTCGCTCGGAGCGTTCAATGTCGGTTCTATATACTGTAAAACTTCAATTAATGTTAATAATATTTGTTTCAATCACCGAATGAAGTCTGCTATATTTAGGACAAGAGTCGCGACCTTACATTGCTTGCACAAAACTCTTGATCAGCACTCAACATTTGTTTATTGTTGTTCATTTAAACCGTTATGCGCAGAGAGCGTGAGGGCGAGAGAGAGAGAGAGAGAGAGAGAGAGAGAGTAAGGTCTGTGGTCTTGGCCATTAGTTGATTTACTTGGTTTTGTGTAAGTTAATACGTTGTCAAATATGTTTAAACTTAATTAAACTACCTATACAAGTAGTTGTGTCTCTTTGTATTAATTTGTCCTGTTATTGACGTAATGCGCGTCATTGACAAAATGCGCAACCAGATATTCGAATATATGTGTTTTTTTTAGAGGGAATATTCGAACGTCATTTTTGAGCAATTTTGACAGCCCTAGTACACGATGGCGTGTATCTAACGGCCGTTTCACACGGCATGCGTGAGCGGCGCGTATTGTTTTCGGCGTGCATGTTGATCAATATTCACACCGGGAGCGGGAGCAGCGGTGAAGCAGGGGGTTTCGACGTCGAATCTGTTTTTGCTGCACTGCTCACGCTCAATTAAAGTGAAAGCACACTTTTGATGGACAAAAATAAATATGATTTCACACAAAAAGTGCCCAAAATGCACAGAATGAGCATGTCTAGTGAGTTTTAACAAGAACTTGAGTAAAGGCAAATAAAAGAAAATCAAGACTCAAAAATATTTATAGAAGATTTAGGCTACCCGGTAAAAACTTGTTTTTAATTATTCAGTTTGGGTGAAAGTTGTGTATTATATTAAAACAAACTGAAGTAAACTGGCCAGGAAATATTATATATAAGTGTTCTTTTAGTTTATGTAACACACAGACAGCTACAGGCTAGCACAACCCAAATATGAGAATACTCTCGCGCGTCTGCAGCTGCAGTGACGATGTAGTTACGCTGACGCGCCGCTCAAGTGCCGCTCACGCTTGCGGTGTGAAACGTCCGTAAGGCTGCATCGAAAGGTAACTTCACGTCTGCCGCCATGTTGGATCCATAGGTATAAACAAACTGCTTCGGTGTGTCGCACAGACGCGTCATCGTCTTGCTGCTCCCTCCCCGTTCTGTGATTGGTTCCCTAGATGAGGCGAAAATTTGGTCCATGGTATCCAGACTGCCTAGCAGCGTGAATAAAATCGCTCTGCGGCAAGGCAGTATGGGGTTAGGCTAATTAGCACACTTCTTTTTCACAAGGGCAAGGAAATCACAGAGACAGAACACTAACTACAACCTAGAAAACCATATATCAACACATTTAAAACCAGTTAAGACAGCTTAGCAATTGAATATCTCCCTATGAACAAGCACTCCCAACAGCCTAGCATAGTCGCGGTGAGTTTTGTAAGCGCAAACACTCACAGTCTCTTCAGAAAAACATAAATGTTGTACAGTCATTAAAAAAGCCAAGAAATAAACTAGCATCTAGCGTTGTAAAGAAGTTTTATCAGATATGAGTTGCCTTTGAAGTGCTCCCAAGTGACACAAAAACAAAAAGCTTTGTGGCGACACATTGCAAATGTATTGTGGGTAAAGCGATGGGATCATTGTTGAGTCTAGTCACCCACCTCCCACATCAGTCGTGGATCCATGCTTTCATCCAAGTCACTCAGCATCCGCTTTTCACCTGCAAACGGGCCGAATTTCTCACCCTGTGGAGAAAAAAAGAGCCCGTTTGTGTGAGAGTGTGTTGTAGGATTGGGCTTTGATGCCACATCCGGCAGTTTCTGGAGTGTCTGTGTGGGTCTGAACATGATCAAGGTTGATTCTCAACTCACAGAGACTTATTCAGAGACTTCACACATGTAGGGTGTATTCAGTTCGGTTTGCTTGGTTCGTTTAGTCCTGGTCCGCTTAATGTTCACATTGGCATTTTTATCACCGAACCTTAAGGCATATGGATAATATGTTCACAACCTGATTGGTCTGCTTCTATAATGTATATTTTGTGATGGAACTTACCGAACATCAAAACAATGCTGTGTTCTGGGATAAATGCGCTCGTGTGTATCTACATATGGTATTTTGATCAGCTGAGAACTCGTGAAGAGCTTATATAATGTGTAAATGAGCTAAAACAGCATCAGGAATCAATCCGTCACACAAATGAAGATCTGCTGCGAGGAGACCCGGTTCTGATCCTCTACTGAACTGTGATGGCTAACATCACGACTATGATGAGAAAAAAACAGGTTTGCTGGAGCATTTTAGGGTCGCATCTTGTGACATCATGTCCTGTTTTTGGTTCGTTTACATGTCTTTGGTCAGTGTTGTGGACCAAACCACACCAGAGTTCGTTTGGAAGCAGACAAAGACTGCTTTTCAGTGTCTCGGTCCGCTTGTTTGGTGGCACCAGGGTTCAGACGACAGCGTTCACACTTATTCAAATGAACCACACTAACAGAGCAATCGCACCAGGGTTCGTAACTGAACCAAACTGTGAACCCTTAGAGAGAAGACAAGTCTCACAGGCCCTGTTCACTCCTGGTGTTAAGAGTGTTTTGGTGGATCGGATCACAAGTGGACGAGGGAGACACATTCCTGTTCACACCTGGTGTTTTAATCCGTCTCTTTTGTCCACTTTCAAACATTTCTGTCCTGATTTCTTGGAGGGGAGGGTCTATGGGCGGGTAAATGTATGGGATTTTTCAGATCTTTCGATATAATGAACAAAATAAGTTTGTGCAATTTACATATGAATACGACCGGAGACACGAAAAAACACACAGAGAGAATCAGCTTTAGTTTCTGCTCTGAGACACAAGACCAGCCGAACGCTGTGAGTGTGTGTTAGAGATCAGGAATGGTGAGAGAACATTGTGCTTGATATGTTTTTCATCTTCAAACCAAACTTGTGTCTCCATCCGACAGTTTAAACCCCGTCTGTCTAGAGCTCTTCCCATAATGTTAAGCATTAGGTCAGTAGACGGAGACAAGACGGTCTTTTGTGGCTGTTTGAACACATTCGACCACATGAGCGTTTACACTACTAGGCTAAAGGTTGAAAATCCGGTTGAATGCGTTTTCGGCCTCTGGAAGTGGTGGAAAGTGGATAAGCTCAAAACGTATTAGACCCTTTTTACACCTGTATTAAGTGTAGTCCACTTGTGATCTGATCGACCAAAACGGGCGTTTCACACCAATAGATTGTTTGTTTTGTTCCGAAACAGGGAATTGATTTGTTACAATGTTGCATTTTCTTTTTGATTCGGCTCGCTTTCACAAGGCAACCTTTCAAAGCGTACCAAAATGTGATCGCGCAAGTCACGTGCGAGTAACTGTCCTCTTATTGGTCAGTTTCCTCTGTGTCATGGCTTTATTTGTAACTGTCAAGACCACGCGAACACTAGACGAATTTTATAATGCAGCTAGAGCAGGAATCAAGTCTTCAACGGGACAGCATTTTCGCACAGAGAAGCGCAATTACACCACATTATAAGATGAAGACACTCTTTCAACTGTGATAACTAATGTGCTCACTCACAGAATCAGACACTACTGCTTTGTATATAGCACATTTCCCATTATGAATTGTAATACCATCTGGTTCATTGGTCTATTGGGTTGGATTGCTTTCACACCTCAAGCGAACTCAGAGTGGTGTGGATCCGAGCGCGAGTGCCGTGTTCACACATGCCTTAACGAACCGAACCGAACCAAAGGGAGAAAACGCAGCAGGTTCCGAAACAAGCGCTCAGGTGTGAAAGCACCCTTTAATATCAGGTGTAAACTAAGAGTGCTTTCACACCTGCCTCATTTAGTTGGGTTGAATCCCGCTAGAGTTCGTTTTCCCCCTTGGTGCGGTTCGTTTGGGCAGGTGTGAATGCAGCGATCGCACTCGGGTGCGCACCAAAAGCGGACCAGAGGAGGTCTCGCTACGCTTTCAAACGAACTCTGGAGCGGTTCGTTTGTGGTGAGAACGTGGTCCGACCTCGAACAGACCCGACTGCCAAAGAACTGCGCATTTTTGGACTAAACCAGCTGCCGTAGTCAAACTAAACTATTATTTAGATTGTCAATAGCGCTCGCTTTAAGCCATGACTGACTCACCGCGTTCTGCACTCTCACTGTAAGGGCCCTTACATAGTCAACGCATCGGTACGCATACGCGTGCGCAAGGCTACACATCGCTACGCTTCGGCCGCCATTATGTGTCGTCCTAGTTTTTGATACGCGACGCGCCGATGCACGCAATACTATGCGTTGTCGGTGGGGGCGACATTGCAAGTAATGTACATAAAAAGGTATATTATTATGTTTACAGAAGAAGAAGATTTGAATACAATGGCGGGCGAAGAGGAAAAGTTATGCGAGCTTGTTCGTATACATCCTTTGTTGCCGCCGATGTAAAATCAGCAATATGCACTCCTCTTCAGTTGCCATTTTGATCTGAATTTTACGTGACCCGACTCTAGACTCTACTACCCCCTGCTGCGCAATCGGTGTATTGCATTTCACGCATCGCCGGTGACGCTTGTGTACTATGAAAAGGAGCGCGTAAGGGAATCTCTCATTTATATTGCGTCTAGACTTTGTTGTTTATGAGGGGATTTGCGATCAGTTAATATAGGCTAAATGTAAACTCTAATACATTTCCATTTAATTGTAAATAGCATGCAATTAAGTGTGTGAATTATTATATTATTTTAAAGATATGTATATGTATGTGTGTGTATATATGTACACTCACCGGCCACTTTATTAGGTACACCTGTCCAACTGCTCGTTAACACTTAATTTCTAAGCAGCCAATCACATGGCGGCAACTCAGTGCATTTAGGCATGTAGACATGGTCAAGACAATCTCCTGCAGTTTAAACCGAGCATCAGTATGGGGAAGAAAGTTGATTTGAGTGACTTTGAACGTGGCATGATTGTTGGTGCCAGAAGGGCTGGTCTGAGTATTTCAGAAACTGCTAATCTACTGGGATTTTCACGCACAACCATCTCTAGGGTTTACAGAGAATGGTCCGAAAAAGAAAAAACATCCAGTGAGCGGCAGTTCTGTGGGCGGAAATGCCTTGTTGATGCCAGAGGTCAGAGGAGAATGGCCAGACTGGTTCGAGCTGATAGAAGGGCAACAGTGACTGAAATAACCACTCGTTACAACCGAGGTATGCAGCAAAGCATTTGTGAAGCCACAACACGCACAACCTTGAGGCGGATGGGCTACAACAGCAGAAGACTCCACCGGGTACCACTCATCTCCACTACAAATAGGAAAAAGAGGCTACAATTTGCAAGAGCTCACCAAAATTGAACAGTTGAAGACTGGAAAAATGTTGCCTGGTCTGATGAGTCTCGATTTCTGTTGAGACATTCAGATGTTAGAGTCAGAATTTGGCGTAAACAGAATGAGAACATGGAACCATCATGCCTTGTTACCACTGTGCAGGCTGGTGGTGGTGGTGTAATGGTGTGGGGGATGTTTTCCTGGCACACTTTAGGCCCCTTAGTGCCAATTGGGCATCGTTTAAATGCCACGGCCTACCTGAGCATTGTTTCTGACCATGTCCATCCCTTTATGGCCACCATGTACCCATCCTCTGATGGCTACTTCCACCATGTCACAAAGCTCTAATCATTTCAAATTGGTTTCTTGAACATGACAATGAGTTCACTGTACTAAAATGGCCTCCACAGTCACCAGATCTCAACCCAATAGAGCATCTTTGGGATGTGGTGGAACGGGAGATTCGCATCATGGATGTGCAGCCGACAAATCTGCGGCAACTGTGTGATGCCATCATGTCAATATGGACCAAACTCCCTGAGGAATGCTTCCAGCACCTTGTTGAATCTATGCCACAAAGAATTGAGGCAGTTCTGAAGGCAAAAGGGGGTCCAACCCGTTACTAGCATGGGGTACCTAATAAAGTGGCCGGTGAGTGTATATATGTATAGGCTACATATATATATATATATATATGTGTGTGTATGGGCTATATATAGATACAATATATATATATATATGTAGGCTATGTATGTATACACACATTCAACATGGAGTGTATTTTCTTTTGTCGGGGTGAAATATGAGCAGGACATGTTCTAGCAGGTTTAGTGATGTTCACACACTTTATCTTGTCAGCTGAAGAGGGTAAAAGTCCTGCTGCAGATGTAGAGCCCTTACAAACAATTACCACAGTAAATATATTTATTGTTTTTGCTGAAAAGTCATATAATAAGATTATATCAAATCTTTTTTAAACAGTGTAAAAAAACACTTTCTGGCATTTGTTTCATTTACTTTTAATGACAGCAGGAGCTAATATCACATAAACCTCAGTTGTACTGTACAATAACTGTAGTAACTTTATGGCGGAAACGGAGGCTGTCGTGGTGGATTTTTGGCGGAAACTATGGTTACCATGGTGATTGTTTGTAAGGGACGTGGCAGCCCACGTAAGCACAGATACACAGAGGAATGCAACTACAACCAGGCGATTAAACTTTATACACTATGAGCAAAGTGAAAATAGTAATAAAATAAGTCTTTCTCCAGATGTAACTACAGAACCCATACTTTATCTTTCATGCTGAGAGTTTGTTTTATGCACGAACCTTCTTGACTGCTCTGGCAGTGTAAAGCCCCATCCCGTCCTGAACTTTAGAGGACTTCAGCACGAATCTGTCCGGCACGTACATGCCCAACATTCTCATCACTTCAGAAAGACGCCTTTCTTCCAAACAAAACACATGAAACGCGCTCGGAAACACAGGTTAGGGGCTGGTTTGATATTCTCTGCTCGCTGTGTTTGTAAATCTCAATCCAGTCTGGTCTTCCATGTTACTGTCTGTGCATGAGAGCGACACTGCGTTCCGATTGGCTGTTGGCCGTACGGGGAATAAGTTTCTGCGCTCTGATTGGTGGAAAGTTTAAGAACATCCACGTTAGTGTCAGTCACAGAGTGAGTTCTGCGATCTGATTGGTGAAAAGTTTGTTACCGCGAGCTACATATTTTACTTTCCCGGGAAAAATCACCACATCACACTAAATAAACTAAATAAAACTAAAATCACCGAATACTACAAATAATGTTAACACTTTACAATAAGGTTCATTAGTTAACATTAGTTAATGTATTGACTATGACCTTACAAGATTCAATACATTTGTTACTGTATCATTGTTAACGTAAAAAAAATAAAACTGTTCATTGTTTGTTTATGTTAGTTCACAGTGCATTAACCTTTGATTTTAATAATGTATTAGTAAATGTTGAAATTAATATTAACTAAGATTAATAAATGCTGTAGAAGTATTGCTTATTCATAGTTCATGTTATGTTAACTAATTATTGTAAAGTTTTACCCAAATAATAATAATATCAACAACAATAATGGTGTTGCTACTACTACTAATAAAATACATGATGTGCATTGTGCAATTTTTGAAGTAATTTTTGAGTTTAGGTTTGTCGGGGACATCAAATCCTAATGACAAGGAGAGCCTCTGAATTTAAGCGATGTTCCAGATTTAAACATATAACAGCATTAAATTAAATTAACATTACCATTTTACTGACATGTTATATTTACATCTAACATCCAAACAGAGCTAATGCACCTCAGTATGAACATCAGCCTCTGGTCTGACTGTGTGGTCATGTTTCATGTACACATTGTGTTTTCTTTAATTGATTTTCAAAGTCATTTGATTTAATGCTCTATAAACAAGGTGGTCGCACAATCAGCCACAGTAATGGAGGATGGATGTGCATAGGAGTTCCCGTTAACGGTCGCGGCTCTGTGTTTGTGTGTCACGTGTTTAGATGCTGTTTACTGGCCCTTCATCAGTACCTGCCAACCCACATCTGTTTAAAACAGGTTTCTGCAGAAAGCAATTAGGAAAATGGGCATACAAACAGCAATGGATGATCAGGCATCTAGATGAGAGAGGATACACTCATATCACACGGGGCTTTTAAGGCCAGGCCCATTAGACTAAAACCAATGACTCTGGGTAATTTGTACAGTCACTTAGTACATGTTATGCTGTCTGTACAAGCGTGAGTTGTGTGTGTACAAGGCAGTCATATCCACAACCACTTTAGTCAAGTAGGCTACATACAGTACATGAATTTCAAACTTCTGCATGATAACTTATGAAAACCAATGGAGTTTGCTGTCATTAACATGAAGAGTCTCAAAACATCTCTTTTTGTGGTTGATGAAGAAATTAAAGGATGGAATACACTACACGACTTTAAATTCCAAACAAATTAATAAAAAACCGGCATACACTTTTTGACTTTGTAAATGGTTACAGTGAGAAACTGAGCATCATATGGTAAATGATTGAGGATCACACACTGCAGACTTCCAAGCTGTTCTGACAACAACATGTGTCAGAAACATGTGGCTCTTTGCTAGGGGACGCATGACAATTGAAAACAATATGTGTTCTAAAATCGGCTAAAAATATCAAACTGATACCGCTGATTGAATGAATTCATAGTCTGAAGCTAAAAAATATGTGTCCATCATACACTACGTGATTTTCTGTCAAATTTGCCAACTCCAGCTGCCCAATATCTGAAGACTGATTTTTGGCAACTATAGCATCGACAAAATTGTTGTGTAGTTTATTCCATTTAGTTATTTTGGTTAGGAACAAAATGAGAATGGGTAAATGATGACAGATTTTTTAGCACTTTTAATATGTCACAGAAAAAGAGAGATGATGTCAGAATGTGCTGTTCACTCATTTTATTGCAATTGTTTCGTTCAACAGGGTCATCTGACAGCTGTTGCCCTATAGGAAGTCCATAATTTCATGAAAAAAAAGCTATCCGTTTGCATTTTAAAGGCAGTTGATCTATGGTAATATAAAGAAATACTTGAGTTATATGTTGTTTAGAAAGAATATGGTTAGAATGTTGTATTTGATGGCTACTTTGAAATGGGGAACCATGGGGATACATGATTTCTGCCATCATAATGGTGTAGTTACTGCATCTGTCAGCAGGGGAGACAGAAACCAGTCAATTTCTGAGCAGCTGTTCGTAAGAAAGTTCTTTAGCAAGCATGTTTATTTGAGACTTTTGTAAACTGTCATAAACATGAAATCCTTCTAGTCATATGTAACCATGAAAAAATAACCACCAACGACTTTTGTTGTTCAATGTAAAGGAGAACAGAGCTTTAGAAGTATTTTTCTTTTTTTTTTTCTTTTTTTTTGAAAGTCAGTGAAATAGACAATACAGGACATTTTTAAAGTGCCCCTTTTATGCTTTTTCGAATATAACCTTTCATGCAGTGTGTAATACAGCTGTTTGTGCATGTAAAAGGTCTGCACATTTTCAAAGATGAAAGTCCACAACAACAAAAAATATTGTCTCCTGAAAGAAATAATAAATTCTGAACTGCTGAAACGAGTCGTCAGCAATTCTTGCCTCACTTCCTGTTACATACCTACAAAACAATGTAAGAAATTTGCATAATGCCAGCCTATGGATTTCATTGGCTGCCTGCGAATAACGTTTACTTTGACCCTCAAACACTGTAGTGGTAGCTGAGACTGGAAGAGTTTGGTTCGTGTTGTCAACGTGTAAAGAAGGAGCTGTTTTTAGCGCTGTGAATTAATGTAGCATGAACTTCAAAAAGAAGAGAACTTGAGCTGGAATTGATACGGAAAAACCGACATCCTTAATATCAGTGTGTATCAAGAGCTGAGGAAGATCCGAAGTTAAAATTCAGATATGGTAATAGGCGTTTGTTTCCAACATGCACTGTAAGTGGTCGTCCAATCACAACAGACTGGACCATCTGACCAATCAAAGCAGAGTAGACCAATCACAACAGACTGGGTAATCTGACCAATCAGAGCAGAGTGGACCAATCACAACAGACTGGGTAATCTGACCAATCAGAGCAAAGTAGACCAATCACAACAGACTGGGACATCTGACCAATCAGAGCAGAGTAGACCAATCACAACAGACTGGACCATCTGACCAATCAGAGCAGAGTAGACCAATCACAATAGACTGGGTAATCTGTCCAATCAGAGCAGAGTAGACCAATCACAACAGACTGGGCCATCTGACCAATCAGAGCAGAGTAGACCTATCACAACAGACTGGACCATCTAACCAATGAGAGCAGAGTAGACCAATCACAACAGACTGGACCATCTGAGCAATCAGAGCAGAGTAGACCAATCACAACAGACTGGACCATCTGACCAATGAGAGCAGAGTAGACCAATCACAACAGACTGGACCATCTGACCAATCAGAGCAGAGTAGACCAATCACAACAGACTGGACCATCTGACCAATGAGAGCAGAGTAGACCAATCACAACAGACTGGGCCACCTGACCAATCAGAGCAGAGTAGACCAATCACAACAGACTGGGCCACCTGACCAATCAGAGCAGAGTAGACCAATCACAACAGACTGGACCATCTGACCAATCAGAGCAGAGTAGACCAATCACAACAGACTGGGCCACCTGACCAATCAGAGCAGAGTAGACCAATCACAACAGACTGGACCATCTGACCAATCAGAGCAAAGTAGACCAATCACAACAGACTGGACCATCTGACCAATCAGAGCAGAGTAGACCAATCACAACAGACTGGACCATCTGACCAATGAGAGCAGAGTAGACCAATCACAACAGACTGGACCATCTGACCAATCAGAGCAAAGTAGACCAATCACAACAGACTGGGCCATCTGACCAATCAGAGCAGAGTAGACCAATCACAACAGACTGGACCATCTGACCAATCAGAGCAGAGTAGACCAATCACAACAGACTGGGTAATCTGACCAATCAGAGCAGAGTAGACCAATCACAACAGACTGGACCATCTGACCAATCAGAGCAAAGTAGACCAATCACAACTGGACGATATGGACCCTCTATGGTGGACGGCACTGATCCTCAACAACTCGTCTCCATACCGGCGTGATTACTTCGACTTCCAAAAAAATGGAAATGGATAAATACTCTAAATGTTCCGATCCAATCTGACTTGTAATGTTGCCCGAATCATACACTGTTCCTTCGTTGGCCAGAGGAGAACTGGCCCTCCGACTAAGTCTGGTTTCTCTCAAGGTTTTTTTCTCCATTCTGTCACCTGATGGAGTTTTGGTTCCTTGCCACTGTTGCCTTGGCTTTTGGCTTGCTTAGTTGGGGACATTTAATATTCAATAATATTATTGATCTGCCTTGCGTAAGGTAGACGTTGACGCAATTTTCTTTTAGAAACAAACTTTGTTGTATTATTTCCATGTAATCACTGTGAAGCTGCTTTGATACAATCTCTATTGTAAAAAGCGCTATATAAATAAAGGTGACTTGACTTGACCAATGAGAGCAGAGTAGACCAATCACAACAGACTGGAACACCTGACCAATCAGAGCAGAGTAGACCAATCACAACAGATTGGACCACCTGACCAATCAGAGCAGAGTAGACCAATCACAACAGACTGGACCATCTGACCAATGAGAGCAGAGTAGACTAATCACAACAGACTGGACCACCTGACCAATCAGAGCAGAGTAGACCCATCACAACAGACTGGACCATCTGACCAATCAGAGCAAAGTAGACCAATCACAACAGACTGGACCACCTGACCAATCAGAGCAGAGTAGACCAATCACAACAGACTGGACCATCTGACCAATGAGAGCAGAGTAGACCAATCACAACAGACTGGGCCACCTGACCAATCAGAGCAGAGTAGACCAATCACAACAGACTGGACCATCTGACCAATCAGAGCAGAGTAGACCAATCACAACAGACTGGGCCACCTGACCAATCAGAGCAGAGTAGACCAATCACAACAGA